GTTTGTTCACGAACGACTCTATTTATTTGCCGTCCTAAATTGAAGACAAACTGAAGGAAGAAAGAGGGTGCTGAGTTGATGCAAGGAGAACAATTTCCACACCTTTGTAATTAAAATTATTCTATTTATTTGTCTTGTAATAAAAAAAAAAATTCCACATAGTTTTTCAAACCTCGTTGATATTGTACCTTTCCTAATTTAGCTTTAGACTTTTGAGGACAAAAAATGCGTAAGTAGTTGTTTGTGATGACCTAAATAAGTATACTTTTTGTCTTTTTACAAAAAGATGTGCAGAAAAATAGAGAGGTGATGTGATGAAAAAAATATAAAAAGATAAAAAGATAGATTATTTTGGTATTGCCAAACTTTACCTAAGTTGTCGTAGCATCTCTATTAGGTTTTTCATATTACTAGTTGGCGCCCCACGCGATATCCGCCTGGGGTTGCGGCATTATTTTTTTGTTTAGATAGGATAATGATAGAAACAAGAATAAAGAACCAAATCAAAGCGTCCTCGTATCAAGAATGACAAAGCGAGACACCAAAACGGAACCTCCTCTATCCAAACCCGCAAGCCTTGAGTTGAAGAGTGCTAGCCTTGCTAATCGATGAGCAACCTCATTCCCCATTCTTCACATGAGTTAGTTACCGTACGATAGCGAAAAGCGGTAAGAGCTTGACGAACGTCCATGATAACTGGTCCAAACAAATGCATATGAGGGTGGCGGCATCGTTGATGGTGTCATGTTACCACATTATTGAATCACAATGTTATATAATCTAAAAACAATGCTATATATAATTTTATTTTTTATCTTATTTTTTCATTCCTAAATACAAAATAATGGAATTCATATTATTTATTTATTTATTGATAAATAATAATGAAATTCATATTTATAAATATATAAGAGACCGACTCACTTGTGTCTTGAAGTGAAAAGAAGAGGTAAAAAATATAATTAATTTCATGGAACAGTTTTTATTAAAGCAGCTCAAGTTTGATGGCTAAAATTAATTTCTGACATACACTTTTTAATTCATTAACCTAACATTACAATCAAAATAACTCATCTCAATTTCTAAGTGGCAAATAAACACTCAATTACAAAAAATTGAGCATAAAAACATATCATGTTGTAGGGACTAAAGAATGTAAACCAAATTATCTCACTAATAAAGGTACAGTAGTGACTGTTGTGCCTCAATTTGAGGTGTATTATAGATTTATTTTTATGTTCCAAACCGTTCATTTTGTAAGATTTATTGAGTATTTCATGTCTACCAAAAATCATATTAATCGGATATCAATAACTATATGATCAATAACCAAATAAATAAATAATAAGTTTTTCTTTTGAGAAATAACATAAAAAATATGCAATTCGATCATATAATTATTGATATCCAATTAATATGATTTTTGGTAAGCATAAAATACTCAACAAACCTAACAAAATGAACGGTTCAGATCATAAAAATAAACCTATAATACACCTTAAGTTGAGACACAACAGTCACTGCTGTGGCTTTTGCACAACAGTGACCCATCTCCAGAAAGAAAAGTGGCCAACAATAAATAGACATTCTTATGCAATTAGTGCACTTGCAAACTATTCAATACCTTAAAACAGCTTAAATGCAAATATAAATTTGCTTTAAAAATTTAGTATCTTAGGTTTGATGCTAAAACGATAGGTAGAAGGGAAAAGTAACCTAATTTGTAATTTTTGTTTGAGATGATCTAAATAAATATATTTTTTTAATTTTTTATAAAAAAAAATATACAATGTGATAGGGAAGTGATGTGACCCAATTAAGAAGTGGTGTAACCCAAATAATATAAAAAGATTTTAAAAAAAAAATTGATGTGCTAAACTAGGGGATGCCAAACAAAGGAAAAAAATTGATGGAATTTGAAAATGATGAACCAAGTATAATGACTTGTTTTCCAATTCTCATTTTGTTCACTCTTGTATTTCATTAAAACAAAATAAAATAAAATAAAATAAAATTTGAATGCAGCATACTTTAAAAAAAATATATTAAAAAAAAACAAAAAAAGCTGTGCCAATTATATCTCTAAAGAAGAACAATACAAAAATCAAAACATGCAGGATAGAAAAGATAACGTAAATACCGATATTAAGTTCTGATATATGAGGCCATGTTTGTTAATGTTTTCAGTTTTCAATTTTTAGTTTAGTAAAAACAAGAAGCAAGTTTTCGTTTATTTTTGTAAAAAATAAAAATAGAAAACTTGTTTGGTATATAAAAATATTTTGAAAATAAATAAAAATAAAATAAAAATAGAGAAATATATTTGATGAGTTTTCAAATTTGGTGGCTGGAGATGGAGGGTAGACAGATGTAGTGACCGATAGTGGTGGATAACCGAAAATGTCCCTTGGAGTTAGTGGTCAGATGTCGTCAAAGGACATGAGGTGACCAAAAGAATGCCAAAATGTGGCCTAAGATCATGATGGTGACTGCCCACCCACCGAAGAGTCGCCGAAGGTTGGCCAAAGCTCGCCACTCACCGGAAGCGGCAACTGGTGGTGGTCGGTGGCCGGTGGGTGACAAGAGAAAATGAAAACTTGTTTTAAAAACAAGTGTTAAAAACAACATTTTTGTGTTCTCAAAAATTTTGAAAACTTTGAAGTCAATTTCATTTTTTGAAAACGAAAACAATACACCAAACAAATTTTCGTTTTCAATTTTCAAAAAAAATGAAAACAAAAACAATAAACGAAAATGTTAAAAACGGCCCCTAAACAAATGCATATATATATATATATATACCATAAATGAGTAATTTTGATTTATTGTCATAATTTTCTTTTCCATATATATAAGCAATCTATGTTGCAACATTTTCGTGTTCTGTTCTGGTTTCCCTATACACACTTCTACACCATATTATTGTGCAATGGAAGGTAACAGAGTTTAGTCATCATCAACTACTCAACAATGGGCAGTCACTAAATCACTAACTACAAGTAATGTGAGAGAAAAATGCATTCACTTGCCCACAAAAATGTTTGAAAATCATATCCTCCCAAACCTTGAGATAGGAAGGCAGAACACACTGACTAAATCAGCGAAACCGATTCCAATTTCGGTGCACGATGGCCCCAACAGATGGTACCTGATGAGTTTGAAGCTGGATAGACTGGTCTGCTATCTTAGAGAGGCCAGACAGCTTTTTAAGGATATAAAACTCAATCAAGATCAGAAAATCAGACTTCGTTTTTTTTTATCAGAGAAAATCAGGCTTTGTTGGGAATATGGGAAACTATATTTCTATAGTGAGAAAAGGTTAACAACCCTGTTTGGCGTTGTTTTCGGAAATTTTCATTTTTGTTTTGTGTTTTCTGAAATAAAACAAGAAAGAAGTTTAGAAATACCACATGACTACTGCGCTAATACTCCATCCACAGATAAAGTTAGTCAAACACCATTTTACACTTTATACCCAAATCAGTAACTTGTTTCTGTAATAAGAGTTACAACACAGCTATTCTATTCTATGAAATCTACATGTCTTTTATAATTATTCATCCAATAATTGCTTCATCAAACACCTAAACTGCTAAAACAGTTCTCATCATTCAATAAATCACCTCTCAATCATCAAACCGTTCAAAGATTTAAGCATGAAATTGCAAATGCATCACCGCTAGTATTTATATATGCATGCATCTACATATGTACACATTGTTATATGCAAGCACAAGAATTCGCAAAATCAATACCATTGTTATATATGTATACTGCTGCATTTTATCAGTTTTGTGTGTGTGAGGCCTCAATCATCAGTATCATGTGTTTGATATTACAGAAAATTTTCACTTGTCATTTAGTATAATGAGGGGGAAAAAAATTATTGTGTATAATTCTATGTAAGGTTTTGTGCCCCAACCAATAATGCAATCTTTTCTAACAAACCCACAGAATAATACTAAAGGCAACCACAAATTCAAGCCGTCAACATTCACAAAATTCAAATGTAGTTTTCTACACTGAAGTTTTGTTCTAACGAGAAATTCCCCATAAATAGAACAGTGTCTCATGAGAATTGACACAAAAATTATTATTGCACATACAAACATCTTCTTTTCCCAACATTGAGTTAATCCATTATCATGCAATTTTTGTAATTTTGATAATATAATGATTCAATTTTATTTTTTGTGCAGATCAGCTCAAATGAGTGTAGTTCTCCACAATTCCAAGTTAGTATTCTTTTCTTGGTTTCTTTTTTGTTTGCATAATCTTTCTTTGTTTGCCAAGAAGATCAGGGGAAAAAAGAAAATGGTAGGAGGAGGTAGAGTTGGGTGGAGACCATTGGAGTCATGACTTACAAATTAATAAAATCTTTAATTCAGAAAGTATGGTGCTGATTTACTGCATTTTATCTTCACTCCAAGTATCATACTTTCTTATTTTAGAACTTGTGAATTAATTTCTGTGAACATATGTGATGCAGCAATTGTTTTTTTTACTTTTCATGATCTGTGTTATATTATATGTTGCCAGATCTTATTGTTATTTATGTGTTTATTGTCCCAAAATAGTTATTGCATTTTGTCCTGAGTGCTTTGTACTGGGTTATAATAATTAATTGCAATTTGTAAGTAACAGCCCTTTCTGTAACTATTAAGTGGATGAAAGTGGGTTGAAATTGCACGTCTCAGATTTTGTCTTATTTGATCATTCATAGATGCCTGATGTGACTGTCATTTGGTCATAAAGTTTTAAAGGAACTGTTACCCTTAATGGGAAGCACATAAGTGACCAAGTGCTTTCAATTCAATTGCCTAATGGCTTTTCATCCATTCTCAGACAATAAAAGATTCAAGTGGGAAAATTGGCTTTTTATCCATTATCAGACAATAAAAGAGTTCTTTGTATTACTTGTAACTTATTTTTGGACATGATTGCCATTGAATCCATTTTGAAATAACAAGTCACAAATTCTGATACTTTGTCCATCAAAATTGACAGAAAATAGAATTATGGAAACCTGTTAAATTTGGATTTCTGAAACCTGGTTGTTCGTTGAGGCATATTGACAAACACATGGTATGCATCTACTAAACATAAATACACAGAAAAATACAAGCATGAAAATAACATGGTTGGATATTCTACAACAGAAATAAATATGGAAGTGGGGATGTACATTGTAATTACCAGGATTTGCAGCCACTGTAGAAGAGCATCGAAATAGCAGTGGAAATGTATGGACAATAGCGTTTGAACTCTTGGCCACTGCAAACAAACTCCACCATGTTGTTGAGCAAGAAGTTTTTGACGTAATACAATACAATGTTGCCCAAGCAATTCTTATACAAAGCGGCACACCAAACGAAGGAACCTTGTGAAAGCAAGATGTGGAAGCTTGTGATAGGGTGGATAATTGGCAGAGGAGCAAAGTGTTTCTCCTTAAACATCTGGAGATTTTGAAGCCACCGTAATGACACACCAGCGCACACACACCGATGGGTAGCAAGGGTGATTTGTAATAAAATATTAGATGCAGGGCAATTTCAAAAGCGTAAGCATTAGGATGTGTTATAACGCGTTTATGTGCTTTTTATATAGGTTATAGATATTGTTTTTGATGTGTATTTTACTCAGTTAAATGACAACTTTCAATAGGTTAAGTTTGCAAGAGTATACTTATAATTGAAAAGTCAAGGAGACTAGGCAAATATATCCTCTCCCCTCCAACAAGGTAAATCATACCATTTATCATTGCACAAATATCACGTCAGCAACTATGTCAACATGAATCACTTGGGTGGCATGCCATAAAAAATATAAAAAATAAAAAAACACATTTTATTTTGTGTAAATAACTTTATTATTATGAAAATTGATTAAGTTAATTTGAATGACTAATTATAAATAGCCTTGTTGGAGTATACACAATGTAAAGCAATGAAAAAAGCATTCATTTGTTACAATTAATTTTGTTTTCCATATAGAAGAGAAAGAGAGAGAGAGAGAGAGAGAGAGAGAGAGATGAAAATTTGAAACCAAAACAGGAATAGCCAAACATAACCCCATTCTCTGTTTTGATGAAAAACATCAGACATTCCCTCGTAAGACCATCTCCAACGATGAATCAAAGTTGATATCAGATTCAAATTTTGATGAAAAATGCAGTTTTTTATGCTCCAACCGTTGCACCAGATTGATATCAAAATGAGATTTCAGCAAAAAAAGCATCAAACTGAGAACAAGACACAGATTTTACCAAATCACTGTTACTGACCGTTGAAAGAGGTACACCGGTCAACCAGCCGGTTGCCCGGCCGGTTGACCAACTGGTCGACCGATTTCCTTTAAATTAGGTAGGTTCAAACCGGTCAAAAAAGGTTCAAACAGTTTTAAAAAAAAAAAAAAATTATTTTTGCCTTACCGGTTGACCAGCCGGTCGACCGGCCGGTCACCCACCAGCAAACACAATTGATGAATTGGGTACTAAAGAGTCTTTGGATGAATTGATACGAGATTTGATGAACCGTTGGAGCATGAAGTATCAAATTGAGGAAATGACCATTTTTTTACTCAAATTTGGTGAAACATTAGGTTCACCGTTAGAGATGCTCTAAAAAATAATAATAATTCAACTAACTCTATCTCTGAGCTACGAACGTCTAAGACTAAGTTACAGAAAGATCCAGGAACATCTTAACCCAACAATATATGCCAAGTAATTTTTCTCACATCTCGAAATCAAAGTAAAGGGTTGCAAACATTCTGCGACAATCCTCCAAAACCACATGAATTAGCAATTGTTCTGTAAAATATGCAGTTCTTTCTAATGCGTGACAAACAAACTAAGATCAATCCAAACAATCACAAAATGCAATGGCAATTACACTCTAAATCCACGAATGCACAATGCAATTGAATTTTACAAAATTCTACAACAATTGAACTCCAATTCAATCAAAATATTTCCAATAAACTTACAGAATTTTTTGAAACCCACCTCTCAATCATCATCAGCTATTGTTGGCCACCACTCTCTTCCAACTTCTTGACATAAGCTGTCAACACCATCACCAAATTCCTCGCCGGAGCCTGCACCGTCCCCACCACCGCCGACGCGGGACCTTTAACCGACCCAAGCAAATTGGCATAAATCTCAGCCCTGGTCGGCAATGTCTCAAGCGCCTTAAACTCCTCCGGACCATAAAACTTTCCTTCGAACACCGCGCCGGTGAAATCATTCTCCTCCAATTTCTTCTCCTTCTGGAAATTCCTGTAGGGTTTGAGAGCCGCAGGAATTTCCTCACTGTGAACAAACAACCACACATTCATACCCTTCATACAAGGCTTCAGAGCCTCCCATCGAGTCCCCTCAATGGCTTTGAAGACCAGAGTGTTCTTGGCAACGATGAGTTTCGATGTTTGAGGCAAAGATCGACGGAGGTCTTGGAACTGTTTGACGGTGAAGCCTTTGTATTTGATTCCGGCTAGGAGGTGGCAGTCTGTGAGCTGTTGTTTGACAGTTTCGACGGTTTCTTCCTTTTTTGTGCGGCTGATGGCGGCCCTGATTGTGGTGGTTGGTGGTGGTTTGTGGTGGTGGAGTTTGAGTTTGGTGGTGGGGATGGAGAGGGGGTTAATGAAGTGGGTTATTGGGGTTAGGGTTTGGGAGGAGGAGAGTGGTGGTTTTGAGGAGGAAGGGAATGTCAAGAGAGTGGCTTCCATGGTGATGAAGGATTAGAATAGAGAGAGCCAAAGAGAGAGAGAGTGAGAAGGGGGTTCTGCTCTGTTATCTTGTTTTGTTACCTTATCCTTCAATTTTGCTGGCCTTTTCAAAAGGGAATTTTCATTTTCTTCTTCTTTTTTCACGAGTAAGGATCCTCTAGAGTATTTTTTTCTTAAAATTTTCTAGAGTGGTGGATTGTGTAGTTGAGATTTAATGATAAGTCATATCAATTTTTCAACATTAAATCTCAACCACACAGTACACCACTTTAGAAAACTTTAGGCAAAAAACACTCTAGAGGATCCTTGGTGTTTTTTTTCTCTCTCCCTCTTTTTCTCTTTGTGTCTGATGAATAGAAAGATTTATTTCATATTTTTGAATCATAATTAAAAAAAATATTATAATCAAATAATTTAAAAAATTATGAATTATAATTAAAATAAAATTTATTATAATTAATGACATAATTTAAGTCTTATTTAAAAATTAATTATTTTAATCAAAAAATCAAAAGTCATTATAAATTATCACATTACTCTCTCTATTATTTTATATATCTTTTCGTAAAAAAATAAAAAAATTTAAATAACATATTTCCAAACAAAGAAAATGATATATATGGTAGAGTGTGTGTATAGTAAAATTTCTCATCAATTCACACAAATTTTCAATTAGATATTAACTATAATAAAAATAGATATTTATTCATAAATTTCTCATTATTTACTAATGTTCCAGTTAGTTTGAATTATTTTCTTATGTCTCAATAATTTTTATGGGTGACAAAATTATCAAAATACTCCTAATAATAATATGAATATTTACAATATAAATATTTCACGATGTAAACATTCACACTGTCAAATATGAATGTTTACATCACTAAATTGTTAAGTGTTCAAAAAGTATTTGTAAAAATAAAATTATCTATAAAATATTTTAAATATGAAAATTATGATTTGATAGATCAAATATCTTCAGTTTTGACAAAACGAACAGAAGCTAGTCCACCTAATATATTGGTAAAATCTCCAGTACTATGTTTGGATGCAGGGATTTTGTAAGAAAAAGAAAAGAAATTGTGGGAATAAGAAATTTCTTCACTTATTTGAATAATTAAGTAGATGAGAAATGATGAGAGATTATGAGAAAAAAAAAAAAAAAAAAAAAAAAACACAAAAGCAGAAGAAGAAGACGAACTGCACACCACACTCATTTTATTTATGTCGGGGCTCACCCCGATCACCATTTTACACCAAAAAAAAAAAAAAAAAAA